CTTAGGCTCTGTATGAACGTATAATTGTCATCTCTAGTACTATTAAGCAAAATCGTTCTGATGTTTCTAAACTCCAATGAATATTGCACCAAAAGAAGTAGTCTACACAATGTATTCCATTTCTGATAGCTATAACATGACATGATTAAAGAGGCGTACATGTCTATATTATTAATTGTATATGATTTCTCAATGATACCAGCAAGAAATAGCAATTCAATTATCATTAAAGGAATTGTCAAATCATTATGTATTAAAGAATACAATAAAAACAGTGGCATCATAGGCTAATTCGATATGCTGATAACATTTTCAGTCCCTTCAAAGAGCCATGAAATGGTGTAATAAACTTGTTTTTAACTTAGTCGGTCTATCGATTCTGAATAATTATATTGTTTTCGAGAACATGAGAAATCAAAATTTCATTGCAAAGTTATGCTTCATGAGACAACATGTTGACAGATTATTGAGTGTTTACCCATTGCGATTGATCCTCATCAGACATTTCTCATCTTGAATACATCCAAACAAAAGCTTGCAGGCTCCTTGAATAAGCTTTTATGTTTGTAGCAATGTGGAGCTTCTTTCTCTGCACTATATTCGAGAATTAAAGGATTAAGTAACTGAGGAATAAAAAATCTTGAATGTGATGCATATTATTTTAACAAACAATAGATAGTCTCTTTCAGAAGGAGACGAATGTATTTGTCGAATATAATACATCATTTCCAAGAGGATTAAACAGTAAGATTTTCTGCAACAGATATAAGCCTGTTTTAAAAGTAGTGGAATCTATGCGATACTTTTCTTTCTCAAGAAACTACAGAAGTTCTTATTTGCTTGCTTCCTAGAAGAAACTACAACAGAAAAAGCAACGACGATGAAGAGCACCACGACTAGCAGTACCACAACGCTAACAACAAGTGAGTAACTATGTTTTGAAGTGTCTTATATGTATTGGTACTCTTTTAGCAACATCGTGCAATGGAACAGGTCTGGGCTCTTTTTTGTCTGTCAGTGGTTCAAATGGTTGGGCTTACTATTCGAAAAATTACACAGCGACCAAAGCAGCACCTGTGCTCCAATTTGCCGTGCACGGTGGTGCAGCGGCAGAGACAGTTTATTTAGATGGTGTCTCTGTTGTTGACGTTAGTCTACCTACTATTCAGTTGCTCAGCAACCCTAGCTTTGAAATGTCGACATCAGGACCGACTGGTTGGGCTATGTGGTGTACATCCTCCTGTGTTGGCAGTGGTGATGGGGGGCAAATCAGTACTACTGGTTGCCAAACCAGTTTTGGCAATAACTGCTACAAGGACCATTGTCAGACTGGTTATGATTTTCTCGGTCAATCATTTTCAGCTACAGTGGGCGCTATTTACAAAATTTCCTTTTGGTATTCCAAAACTGGAGGAGGTGCTGGAAAGTTCTATGTGGATATAAATTAATGCACAAGTTCGCCTCAATTAGAATAATGGAAAAGACAAACCAGAATACTTTGACTGCGAATAACATGTCATACTACTTTTTCATTCGACTGTAATGAATAACTTCATCTAGCACATTTTCAGTCTAGTTTGAACCTCTTGATAATCGACACTTTGACTACTGTGATAGTTTTTTTGAAAATACTAAGGAGATGAGCCTATAAAACAGGGACAGCTCTGCCTATAAGGTTTCGATGTTTCAAAGTTATCACAATCTGTTCCTTACTCGACAAGTGCGTATTCAGGTGTGGGTGTGGGTGTGGGTGTGGGTGTGGGTGGGTGCGGGGTGTGGGTGTGGTTGTGGGTGAGGCTGTGGATGTGGGCGGGTGGGTGTGGGTGTGGGTATGGATGTGCGTGTGGGTGTGAGTGGGTGTGGGTGTGGGTGTGAGTGGGTGTGGGTGTGGGATGTGAGTGTGTGAATAGAAGAGAGAATAGAAGAACAGTCCATACGCACGCCCCACCACCACTCACACCCACACCCACATCCACCCCCACACCCACCTACACTCACGCTCAAACCCATATTAGAGAATTACTGTTATGATGGAATGGAATTATTTTTACTGTTTGTAGTAAATCAGAAGTTTTCCCTATGGACTTACTAAGTAGCTTTCTCATCAAGAATTCCTCGGTAACTGAGGATGTCTAACTTCAAATATTGCAGTTTTCTAAAACTTTTGAAATACTTTAAACCTAGTTTTGGCTTACAAAAAAAAATCAAAGGATTTACAAATTGTTTAATTGAGATGTTTAACGTTCCATATCTATTCATGAGCTACTCTTTTAGTAAAAAATGTTCTTTTTTCTTTGTTATTGATCTATTAATATTAATAGAACAAAACAAGTACAACTTTTTCTATTATGAATCCCGACAGCGTGAGGGGTATATTTTCAAAAGTCTTAAACTGTTTTAAAACATTCTAGTGATCAAAATATGGATGAGAGTAGTTTTAACAAGAGAAATATTTAGCAAACTTGATTTGAATAATTAGTGATGGTAGTTATCCATCAATAATAGATAACGATAGAGATGTCAGAGTAAGTTTAAGTGAATTCTAATATGTGATGGACTCTTTTCGTCAGTATCTCATGAAAAATCTGGGATAGAGTTGTTTATTGAGAAAAAGACCTATGAAAAGAAAGTATAGTTTTTTAATGCGATGCGAAGCACAGCATTTATGCAGTCGATCGTATACGTATTCGGTCTCCATCCTTCGCGTTTTTTTTGTGTATCTAAATGCGTACATTGTGTCGTGATATTCTACGAAACGGCGAGTTGCTAGAAATTCATTTGACCTATGTCAGAGGATTTGGCCTCCATCTGTTAGCAACGATAATGAAAATTTTTGAGCGAACAGAGTCGATTATAGATGAAATCGTTTATCGTTCTTATATTAATTGAAATTCCTGTGCGAAACTGACATTACTTTGCATCACATTTATTAAGATTTTTGCGAGTTTTCTTTTTTCATTCACCAGGCATATGCATCAAATATTATTATTTTCCGTTGCGGCGATCTCGACAACGAAGATTCAGAAGATACAAAAGGTGGATGTTCTTGTACTGTCTTATTTACGGATCAAAACATTATTTTTTTTTAGGAAACTCTTATAACTGTTTCAAATCAAGCTGGATGATATATATCAAGCTCTTTACCTCTGATGCACTGTAGAAAGCAGGAATGTAGCCCTTTGTATTAAATTTTATTCTCTGTCTGCTACATAGGATTATGATAAGTTTTTTACTTCTAATATTCATAGTGTAACAAAGGTATATATTACAAATAATTTTTACTACTCTCGCTGATGATATATTGAACAATAAAACTAGCTAAATACTACAGTTTGCGAAATGGCTAGTTGCATACTTTTGAAAGAATGATAAACGACATGCTGGGATTGTATCGCCAAGAAGGAAATAAACAGATCAATGGATTGATCTAAATTTTTTAAAATTTACTAGAGACTATAGGATGTAATCTAAAGAAAATCACATGATTCTACGTAATCTAGTTCTAGAGATGTTCACAAAAGTATATATAATTACCTATTACATGGACAGGTAGTGTGAACAGGACTCTATAATTCTACTGTACATCATCATTCTTCAGTTGATTTGATAATATAAGATTTCTGATCAAAGCTATTCACTTCTAAGTTAAATAGATAAGTAAAAATTTTGCTTCTATTTTGTTTTCGGCATTCATCTATTACAACAGGTCATAGATAATATTGAGGAATTTTGTGGAGATCGAAAAAGACGTTGAAGATGAACTTGTCGTAATTCTTTTCAAGTTTACGATAAGTCTAAAAAATAATCTTTCAGTCATCATGATACTGAACCAAAATTGGTTTCAAAGACATTCATTCATCGTCAGATGATAACTATATATTCGTGTCTGAAAAATAAAGAGTGCTAATATTAAGTTATTCTCGTCAATTAATAACGAATAAAACTTTCCTGTCTGAACTACACATGTCCACTAGTCATTCTTCAAATGGAAGAATGATCTATCGACAACAAAGACGACTTGAAGAATCAAGTCCATGTCTATGAAAAGGAAAAGATTTCTTTTTCTCAATTACCTATTCCTCTAAGTTAGAAACCTTCATTTGATCGATTGACTGTTTCATTTTTATTTTTTATATGGAATGATTTGTGTCGGAATTCAACTAATTATGTACACAAAAGGATGAAGTGATCAAGTTCTAACTTTTGAAAATAATCACTACGAATATTTCGAAGTTTGTCAAATTACATAAATGTGTGGATGTGAATGAGGGTGTGGTTGAGGCTGAAGAAAGAAAAAACACCTGAACGCACACCTATAACCACCCTCAAAATCGCCGTCGTTATCGTCCTCTTCGGACTCAAAAATATATGGATTAGTCTAATCACATTTGTCGAAGGTAATCATACTAACAAAAAAAGAAAAGCGAATGCTTGTTCACAACATACCAGAACTCAGGTTCGTTATACTGTATTTATGAGGGTGTGGATGTCGGTGTGTGGGTGTGGGTGTGCGTGAGTGTGAAGGAAAGTATGACTGATACCAACACCCACACACACACACTAACACACCTGCATCCTTCTTTCTAGAAAACGCACGCTATATTTCTCTCTTTTCTTCTTGTATTTTTAGGTTATCTAAGTGAATTTCTCTTTTCTGTTCTATACTACTCTCTCTATTGATTGGCTGATCTCATCTCTCTCTTTTGATCGGACTCATGATCTTCTAGAATGTTCTTCGGTGTCCAAGCTCAGGTCTATATATCTGTCACTTTAGACGAGTAGTTCAGGCTTGTGTATATTAAGCCTGTAATCACTTTGAGTTAATCAACGACTCGCAACAGACCACTTAACAAGCGTTAAGCTTTAACACTATTCATTTGTTTTAGATGAATAAAGAACACTTTCACTATTATATTAAAGTACGTACCGCACTTCATATTCAACCAAGAGTTATTTAGGATGAACTATATTCTATCCATGGTGACCAAGCTTCTTCTTTTATGGCAGTTAAAAGATGGGCTAAATGGTTTCGTGAAGGCCGGGAAGATGTTCAAGATGAAGCACGACCTGACAGACCTGTTACCAAAACAACATCTGATAATATTGAACAGGTCCGCCTTCTTATCGATGATGATCCTCATATTACAATAGAAGAGTGGCAAGAGCAAACTGATTTAAGTCATGGCACCATTCACAGAATCACTACCGATCATTTAAACCTTAAGAAGGTTACCGCTCGTTATATACCAAAGGATCTTACCGATATTCAACGGGCTGAACGAGTTCGAATATGCAAACAAAATTTAGGAAAATTTCAAAAAAGAACATAGCGTTTATGTGATATAATAGCTGGTGACGAGTCATGTTTTTATCATACAATAATTGGTCGAAGGTCATCGAATGCAGCGTGGGAGAGAAGAGGAGATTCTCCATCTACTGTAGTTCGACGTAGTATGTTTGCTCCAAAAATCTTATTTTCCATCTTTTTTTAAGTCAAATGGTCCTGTTTTCATTCGGGATTCGAAAACTTCGCCAATAAGACTTTCGCCAATTAGTGAATATCCAGGCGGACATATTCACGAAAGTCGAATAGATTTTCATTAATGATAGTGAAACATTCATATCGTAAGTGATGTACAAGAACTATGCCTAGCATTATAAAAATGTACCTCAGATCATATAGTTAAGAATATTGCTGATATCGATCTCTCTAATGAATACTCTCGTTCTACTAAAACTTGAGAAAGTTCATTGGAAATTCGCCCATTGGCGAAAGTACACGGGATATATTGAAGAAATTCTTATTGGCGCACTTCCGATAACCGTTTCATTCATTGTCTGGAACGGAAACAAGTTATTGATCATCAGCATTATATCAACAATTGTTTACGACCTCTTGTCGCTGAAATCAAACGTCAAAGACCTACATACGACACTCGTGGTATTAAAATTCACCATGATGATGGAAGGTCACATATTCATAAAGATATGTTCAATTATTTTGCATCAGAAGGTCTCACAATAATACCACATCCATCTAATTCTCCAAATTTATCACCATGTGCCTTTTGGTTATTCGATTTATTTAAACAAAATCTAACTGATCAAAGTGATTCAGAATCATTATGTGATGCTGTGACCGATTTCATATATTCTTTAAATAAAGAGGAATATAGAAAACCCTTCAAGAAATGGATTCAAAGAATGCAATTGTGTATAGATAACCAATGTGATTATTTTGAACATTTAATAGAATAAACAATTGTTGGACTTGTTTCTGCATTTCTTTTCTGTTCCATCACCATTATTTTTTGTGCATTCTGAAATATATGGATGCCTAGTTATTATAACAGATAAGAAAAAGAAGATGAAAGAAAGAAGAAGAGAAAAATAAAGAAAATACGAAAAGAAAATACACATGGATGATAATATGCACTATTACTACCAGCTGGAGTTACATAAAAAAAAACTTTTTTTATCAAAATTTTTTTATTATGATATCATTTGAATAGTGATCAAATAGCATAGAAAAATAGAGCAACAGACACTCTATCTGTTCATTAAAAAAAAAAAAGAAAATTTCTCCAAGCCTTCTATATGAAAATAAGGTATCCGGGTCACTACTTTTGATATGACATGAGCATTTAATATCTAAAATATAAAATATAAAATATTATTTCTAAAGTATTTAATATTTCGTTGATACGCCATTATTGGGCGGTGACAGACAGTCATTAGCATATCATGAAAAACGTAGAAGTTATGTATTGAAGATGTATACAACAATATAAATAACACTTTTTAACATTACGATGTTTAATGAATCAAATAGACTCATAGAAAAGTTATAAGTGTTAACATTTTTGAAATGATTAACTTTCACAGCGCACGTATCAACTATAAAAATTGTTATAATTTTGATTTATTCATTTATTTGACATAAATTTTAATGAATTATTTTAAAATATGTGACACTATATTGTAAATTTATAACAAACAGAGTTTATGTGTTCCACATTTTAGACCCTTTTGTGGTCGCACTGACAAGTTTTTTTTATCAGACATTTGCATCATCCTATTAGAATTTTTCTTGTGTAAGAAAAAGTTGATCCCAGGTTTATCATACAGGCAAATCTATCAGATTATTTAAAGAGTGCGTACCTTGAAACAAAACTAAAATATTATATATGCTTTGTTGTTATTCGTCTAAACAAGGTGATTCATTATCTAAATTCAAAACATAATAAAAAAACGAATAAAAAACTAAGAAGAATCGATTTTGCTAAATAATTAAGTATATGTATTATATGAGAAACCTTCAGTTATTATTATGAAAATCAATAGTCCTTTATTTTGTTCCTCGACCATGATTCTAACCACTGTTTTTTTGTCATTTTTTTATTCTACGTTATCTCGATGGAGGGAGAGAAAGAGAGACAATTAATATCATTCTTGGTTGGTACATGTGTTTATATGGTGAATAGTCACAAGAAAAAGGTATAACTAAGCAGGTATTTACGGCGATCGGTAATTATATGATGATGATGATAAGCAAATATTGTCAAAAAAAATGCAGAACGAGAACAAAAGAGAAAAAAATTTTCAGCCATAAGCATTTAGAAAAAAAATTCTGTACGATACGCTTAAGTAAGTCGAAGGACTATCGTTATTATGTTACTCTTGCCTATGTATAAAAGCAAGCAGAAATATTGTGAATAATTACATTCATTGTTATCTTTCTGATTAGGCATTCATTGACTAGATACAACTGGTGATTATTTATAACCATGAGTTTCGGCGCTGCTCGTGCAACCTTCAATCAATATGACGTTAACCGTGATGGTTATATTGATCGAGGTGAATTCAATCAATGGAGTGGTGGTGCTACTGGTGCAATTGACTATCAATCATCAGCATACAATAGTTCTGGATATGGTGTAGATGCTGGTTTAATTGACAGTGGCTTATCAAGTTATGAATCGTCAGCAGGCTATGGTGCTGGTGGTAGTTATGCTGCACAAACATATCCAACGGATGCTCAAGGTCTTTATCTAGATCCAAACCCTCTAATCATTCGTCGTCAAATTGCACTAGGTGCTCAACCTTACAAACAAAACGTCACAGTTCGGTACCTTCAACCACCACCTGTTCCACCACCAGGCGTAAGTTACTTCTTCTTAGTATTTTTGTTTCTTTTATTAGTTAAAAAATTGTATTTTCTAGCCACTCATCATCAAAGAAGTGCGTCCACCTCAACCACCTGCTCCACCTCCACTTATCATCCGTCAACAAGCTCCTCCTCTTCCTACACCTTCTCCACTCGTTCTTCGTCAACGTCCACCAAATCCACCACCTGCAATCACTGCTCAAAACTTTATTCGTCGTTAGCCAGGTATACCCGTTCTAACACGATCAGTCATCATTGAACGTATACCATCTTTTGCACCTCGTCCTCGTGTGTAGTACTTTTGTTCTCTTTTCATATGTTATATTCAATAAACCTCCGACTCACAATAAAAGACCGCGGGTCTTCTATCATGTTTCAGTACACAAATTTTTAAGAAGGGTCTTCTAATAAGTCTAGATACTTATATAGGACCAGATATATTTATTATAGTTTCTTAAGATATAATTAAGTTAGCTCACCATATTCATATTTCAGATACAAAGTACAACTATGAAAGCAAAATACAAAAAAAATGAAAATAAAAATGAACTAGAATTAAATTTCACGTTTTTTAAAACTAATCTAAGCTGAGCTGTTTCAATTTGTTGTTGTTGTTGATGATGCTTAAAAAATGACGGTTTTTATTTTTTTCTTCGATCATTGTTTCTTTTGCGTTATATTCTTCTCTCTCTTCATTATCATGAATTGTCGAAGAAGTTGCTGTTGATGCATCAAAAATAAATCCTTGTAAAGTTGGAATAGAAACAGGAGATTGATTCGCCCATACATAACTAATATCAGAAAAAGCACATTCAAAATTGACATTTCTTGGAGTTCAAATCCATGCTGTTCAAATTAACCGAATACATAAAATTCTTTGCTGTTTAGCTGTTAATTTAATTCTGTTGCGTGAACAATCATGATCAATCTATTCATCAGCAGCGGCTTCATAATTATTCTTGAACGTCGAAGATTTGGATGATCATCATATAAGGTAGTCATAATTCAAAATTTAAGGAAAATGTTTTTTTGATAATTTATATATCGTTAGATAAAGCTCATCAAATTGTATAAGAAAATATATTTTAAGTAATTTCTAGTTGTTTTATTTTCGAAAAAACAACAAAATACTTTGGTTACTTCAGTATAGATAAAAATGGCTCACTTTTGATAGATGATGTTTAACTTTCTCTTTATCCTACTTTAATCATTTTAAGAGTATTGTTTTCTTAATCAGTATTAAAAACTGAATATAACGCATTAATTTTGATCTTATTCAGTTGTATCATGATCAATTTTTTTTTCTTTATACATGAATGACCATACATAGGTGTTAGTAGTGTATCTTGTAGACCCATCTAGTTTGTTTTGACCAAATTTGAAATCAAGTCATATACGTCATTTGAACTAATTTTGAAGGACCAGCGAACGTATGAATAGACTTTTTCTTTTTACTTCATTTTATCTGAAAAGAGCGACTTTTTTTCAAATATTTATCCAATAGACAAACTATTTTCTACACTGAAAAAGAAATGGTACGATACCGAACCAGAAACGGTATTTTGAACGAAAAAACAGGTTTCGAATTCGTTGCAATTCTCTGAACCATTTTAGGTTCGGTGCAGACCACTACGAAAAACTTGAAAAAGTGTCCTAAGTCAATGACAATCAATTTTAGTCACCCAAAGTTTTTTATGAAACCTTTTGAGGGTTTTCTATTGTCTTCTTGAGCCTCTAAAGGTGTCATTTTTGTTAAACTCAGCACACTACGATGCTGGAAGATATTTAAAAACTAGTTTTTGTGAAGAATATTGTCTTGCTAAGAAATATAAATTCTGAAATTTTCAGCTTCATCTAATCATTTTTTGTATATAATATAAGTTATCGGGCGCAATATATCTGCAAAAAAGTGCCCAAAAATGACTATAAAAGAATATCTTTAACTTTATTTTTATTGTACTTAATTGTTTTGTTTTTTTTGTCACTTTGTTCTTTGGCAGTAAATACATATGTGCCCAACTCGCTAAGTTTAATACTATTAATAATTGTTGGCGGTAAAAATAATGTTGCATCATATACAGGTGCATTAATAATTAGAAAATCATCATTTCCATCATTAACAGCATTGATTAGAGAAGATTTAACTTGAAGCCATTCGTCAAATCAAATTTTAAATGTATTATCGGATCCAAAATAAAAGACAGGATACCATGTTTCGAATAACTTTTGATAGGAAAAAGATAGAGAGCTGCGGTTTTCACCGTTTGAAAGATTAGGAGCTGGGCACCAATTCCACATAAAACCAAGTGGCCGACATCAAACAAAGATACATTTAGTTAGTTGGACTTTTCTCAAAGTCTGCAATTCTCATAACTTCCGTTACAAATTTCTTATTCAAGAGTGGATTCGATAGCCGGATTATGCTCTATAAAACTACGCACACCACAGGTCTCTATAATTTATCACTTGGACCGGGCATGAATTCTACTGAAAGCAACTGCATCGATTTTCATAAGTTCTCATTTCTTCTTGGAAGATAGAAAATGTATAGAAAATAGGTTATCATCTACGTCGAACATTCCAGAACAATGAGCTTTATCTCAGAAAGAGTATTTCTGGCTCAATCCATGAAATGAGTCTTCAAATCGAAATATAAAATCGTAACAGAGCTGAAAATTTTACGAAAAGTGAGCTTTCCTGTGGATAATGACATTTTGAAAGTCGAAATAATCAGCAGTTTTTTTTCGATCCTGTCTATCCGACAAAAGCTATGCAAGCTCATTGCATATGTACTGTAGTGTGCTAGTTTCGAAAAATTTTCTATAATTTCTAATGATTTAGTGTTTATCCAAGATATATGATAGTTGCAATTTCGTGTATCAGTATGCTATATCAGGAGAGACTAATGGTGCCATAAGAATACTCTTTGTCTGTCTACAGCACAATTACATCATGTTTATCAACATTCTTACTCTTTCTCTTCTTGTATTTTTTTCTTCTGATGCAACGAGAGTCATCGGAATAAAACGGAATGCATACATATTTTTGGTCTTTTCGGTTGCGTTTTTTCAAATACAAATAAAAAACAAATCAATAATACTGATAATGACATAAACAATGATACAAGCTATGAACCAGAGGATGCGATCAGTAAAGAAATAGATGAAGATATTAATGATTGAATTTCAATTTTTTTGTTGTCCGCTTTCAAATATTTCCATTAGCAGGAAAGCTCACTTTTTCGTAGACTTTTCAGCTCTGTTACGATTTTATGTTTCAATATGAAGATTCATTTTATGGATTGAGCCAGGAACATTCTTTTTGGGATAAAACTCATTGGTATGGAATGCTCGACATAGATGATAACCTATTTTCTATACATTTTCTATATTCCAAGAAGAAATGAGAACTTACGAAAATCATTGTAGTTGCTTTCAGTAGAATTCATGCCCTGTCCAAGTGATAAATTATAGAGACCTCTGGTTTGCGTAGTTTTATAGAGCATGATCCGGCTATCGAATCCACTCTTGAATAAGAAATATCTAACGGAAGTTATGAGAATTGCAGAGTTTGGGAAAAGTCCAACTAACTAAATGTATCTTTGTTTGATGTTGACCACTTGGTTTTTATGTGGAATTGGTGCCCAGCTCCTAATCTTTCAAATGGTGAAAACCGCAGCTCTCTATCTTTTTCCTATCAAAAGTTATTCGAAACATGGTATCCTGTCTTTTATTTGGGATCCGATAATAGGCACTATACCCAGTTCTCGAAAAAGAATTGGGCACTTTACCTAGTTCTTGAAAAATTCCCAGTTCTATGAACTGAGAACTGTCCTAGGCCTAACAACATACATATGCTCTAAAACACACATAGCATATTACTCCGAACAGTTCTTACTTAATATATGATGCGTAAGTTATTATCAAGTATAAAAAAAGTTACCAATATTGACTATTTAGATATGCCAAAGTAAAGATTCAAATCAATCCTATTACTGTCTGAATCTATAATATGTAATAAAAAATTCTACTAAATATAAGTCAATTAATTCATTGTAATACTATAATTTTATCCATTTTCTAGAATATTGCTATTGATGATTACAAAAATTAATATACAATATAGATTATGTTGTTTTTACCGTTCCAAAATTTATCACATGTACTCCATAGGATTATGTTTCTCTTGCAAAAAATTTCAATAACAACTTTTTAAACATTTCAAAATAGTACACACTATTTTCATTGATTTATTTCTTAAAACATACTTAAAAAACACTTACTATAAAGAAAAAAAATCAAGCAGCTCTTTTTGAAAACTATTGACATTCACTATTATACTTTAATGATGATTATTTCCTTAAAGAAATCGAAAACGAATCCATAAATGAAAAATTTCATATTTATATAAAACTTTCCATTATTGTGATTTTCATGACTAGGATATTCATTTTTCATGCTATTTGAACAATACTAGCCACCCATTTCTACTAAGGAAAGTAACGACTTCATTATAGATACACTTTAAAATTAAATTTTAAATTCTGTACTGGATGTTTTACTTTTAGATTTATGTTGAATCGAACAATGAGATTTAAAATAATATGAGAATAAGCCGAAAAAAATGTCACAACCATTTATCAACTTTTTTAAAATCACATATTTTCAAAAACACATGAAAAACATTTATAACATAAACATATCATATTATAAAAACGTTTCTAATAATCAGCTAAATTTCTTTCAAAAACCTTATTGTAAGGGAATTCATTCTTATGGAAAAATATAAGCACATCTTTGGCATCATTCCGTCAGTCTAGGGCCCAGTGAATCGACTTTCAATGTCGAGGAACTTTACTTGTAAGCAGAAAAAACAGATTGAATTTCGAAAGCGTTCAAATGATGTACTTGATGTGAGATTTCTTCAGTATTACCATTCGAGAGGTCTGATAATGTGAAATCAAGCAAACTAAATTATAGAGATCATAATTTATGAGTGGCCTAATACAATTAACAATACACTTTTCGTCGGATAATGAAACATTGCTTGCTAATAATTGACTCAAAAACTCTTTAGGTTGCTTTTTGCGACGTCATAAGGTAGTTCTAGAGAACATCTACAATTAAACACCACTTAAAGATTTATCATAAATGATAGTCTAAATATAATGCTTTATTATCAGTATATGTAAGGGAGAATAGATGATAGAAAGAACATTAAAAAAAGTTTATTCTCATTGATTGTCTGTAGTGTCTTCTTCAACCTGATGATTTTCTTCATCGTCATTTAAATCATTTGATTTTGAACGTTGATATTTATTCATCATTTGTTTTAAACTTTTATCGCTATTATTTCGATAATCGGTGTGCTTGTCAACGTTGTTGTTACTTTCTGATGCCACTAATCTATCTTCTTTATGTTGCTTTGTTTTGACTTCACATTTGCTTGACCGACATACCCCATTAATAGCTTCATTAAATTTATGATTTGATATTGGAAATTTTTGTGATTCAGCAAATTCTATTCAAAGAAAAACCATAAGCGTAAATCTTTTAGTATTGATGAAAAAATCTAGTTATCTCGAATTGCTAATCGTTGATCTTCCGGTGCATAAGGTCCTGTCATAGTTAACAATTGATCCGATGAATATTGAAGTCGAATTACTTGTCGAGCTATGTTTGATGTTGTATCTTGTATGCAAGCAATTAGATCTCGTAGAACATCTATGCCCAAAGCACTTGCATATGTCGAAATATTTGTATCAGGTGTTTTACTAGCAAAATATTTTCCCATATTAATCACCATTGACGTTCTGCAGCATCTGGTATGGCTAAAAATTGATCTAAGTTTTAGCACTGCTGTTGTTTAATAAAAACCTTTTATATGTTGCTGAGAAGTTTAAAATGTTCTCTCCAAAATTCGTCAAAACTAGCTTTATCTCCTTCATAAGACTTTTTTCAGTTAATTAGACCTAGGACAGTTCTCAGTTCTATGAACTGCATATTTTCGAAGAACTAGGTAAAGTGACCCGTTCCTTTTTCCAGAACTTGGTTGATTGAACAATTCATTTTCGAGAAATGTGTATACCCGGCAGTTCCTTTTCAAGAACTGAGTATAGTGATCAGTTATTTTTGCGAGAACTGGGTAAAGTAACCAGTTCTTTTATGGGAACTATGTCTTGGAACACTTCTATTTTTAGAACTCACACTAGGGACTAGTTCGTCTTTTGACAATCGGACACCTCTATTATAGTATTAAGTTTCCTTTAGCTTCATTCCAGCATATTTGTGCAGTTGACAACCATGGTTCAGAATGGACTAATTACAAATATATAATGGGAAGGCTGAAATAAGATGTTTGATAGCATCAACTTATTCAAAAATAACTGCTATATGCATCAGTGCCTATCAAAAAACTGTTGAGAGAGATCAGTTACTATTAGGTATGTGGTAGCTCCAGCTACACAGCTCGCGAGATCTGTATCCAAAAGCTGGCGAAGAGTTCCTGGAAGCTAAAGCTCCTCAAAACTTTATCAAGAGCTACCTATGGGGGTACCCTAAGTTAGTTGATAGCTTTTTCTATCGACCAATCAGATCCAAGGAAGCTGTTTCTCCGCTATTGTAAGGACACAAGCATAACTGTTATTCGGATCATAAGAAAGAGGGCCACGGATAATTCACTGATTCGCCCGAAACAACAGTATCCATTGTCCTCACAATAGCGGAGAAAGGTCTTCCTGAAATGGGATTGGTTAATTGAAACCAATCAGATTTCAGCGTGATGTTTTTCTCTATAGTAAGTACAAAACATAGTATTGTTCAGGTCGATAAGGGGATTGTCCGTGGTTCTCTTTCTTCTGACCCGAATAACAGTATGCTTTGTCCTCACAATAGCGGAGAAATAGCTCCCTTCTATCTGATAGGTTGATAGAAAAAGCTCTCGAAAAACTAAGGATACCACCATAGTATAGCACTTGAGAACCTAAGGGTACCCCATGGGAGAGCACTTGAGGACTTATGAATCTCCTAGGATAGTTGTTATGAAAAGAACTGATAGGAACACTTCTCAAGGTCGGAACTGATATGGAACTGTCTTAGGCCTACAGTTAACGTTGATATTTGTGTAGAGGACGCTATCATTCATAGACAGCATACAAGTAGCTCATAAGAAAACCTTCTTATGCAATCATTATTTCTTTAGTATTTTTTGAAGACTCTTTCATCATTCTTTTTTTTCTAATTTTTAACATAAATGACACATTTATGCTTAATTTCCAATTGTCATTGACCATATTTCATTTATATCTGAGAGAATCTAAATAACTAGGGTCATTCAACATAAGTTTGTATTGATGCTGACCTTTTAGACTTGATCATGAAGATCTCGCAATACATGACAAGGTATTTCCCTAGTACCTTTTTTTTTATATTGTTGTTTATTGTTACGCTCGAAAGCGCATACCCGGGGATGAACTTAGATTTGAAATTATAGCATGCACTAGTCTATAGCAACATATGCAACAGTTCATATTTTTGACGGTAGGCTATCATAATACGCTTTGAACTTTTATGGGAAGATAAATCAGAAGGAAAAGAAAAAGAAAAAAGAACAAACATAAAGAGAGAAAAGACAAGAGAAAAATATTTGAAAGAGAATCTGAAAAAACAGAGAGAGCACTAATACAAAACAGAAGAAAAAGAAAAATCAAGAGTCAGGATATGTAAGCGAGAAAAAAAAGGCAGATAAAGAAAACGGGAATGCAAGAAAAAAGATAAACTAGCAAAAAAACGAGCACATAAACAAAGGCACATCGATGTACACATGGATATTTAATCGACAAACTCAATCCATTTAAGCAATAGAGTCTCATGTCTATCTTTCTATTTTTTAACTCTTCTCATCCGAAAAAAATGACTTAGATTATCTCCTTCACTTTTGTTAAAATCGTTCGACAAAAATATATCATTAAGAAAAGGAGAACGTTCTAAGTTCGATTTATAAATTTGCTTTAATCTTTTTTTAACGCATTTTTTAACATAAAAATCGAGAGGATTTTCATTGGTTACAGTGAATAAATTCTGTCCTGATACAAAAGGACACCGATAAACGAGTCTCCTTCCTACACGAAATTTACGCCTCAAAATTTCTTGATGGGGTTTTGGTAGTATTGGAAAAAAGGAAAACAGCCAAACTATGTGCCGGAAGGTATAGGAAAAAAAACATGTTCGTAATATTGTAGTTGATAAGGATTTTCCCGACCTTAACTATTTCAGTTTATCAAGCGATCTCTGTATATTCTCAACACATTTGTCAATCGTTGGCTTTAAGGACAACTTACTAGTCCAAGTAAATTCAAGATATTTAAAGAACTGCACGATTTCGATCTTGTGTCTATCCATGAAGATATTTATTGGGAGTGTGGTTACTTACGATTAGAAAATTTGGGCTACCGTTTTACTGATATTTATTAATTGTTTCCATTTCCTTGAATAAGCTGAAATTTGATTGCATACATTAGTTTCCTTCGTTTTCTAAATATTCTAGCATTCGTGAAAATTTTGATGATGAAGAAGGCCGTATCAAAACACTCAGGTCATCTGAAAATATATGAGCAGTGTGTGCTCCAAAACAAGAAATAAGATCACTATGAAAAGCAATGAATAGGTATGGGCTTAAGCTACTTCCTTGTGGAAGCCCGATGAAAATATAGAATATATTTGAGCTTGTACCTCCAAAATCTACGTACGCCCGCCAGTTCTTTAGCCACGAAGCAATAAGTTTAAGCAAACCACATTGTATACCCAAACGATATAGCTTAATCAACAATACTTTGTGCCATACTTTGTCATATGCTTTCTGGTAGTCTACATATAGAGCAAGTGTCGGTATGTTTGCTGCTATATTGTTGCTCACTTCCTGATAAATAGACAGAACTCGGGTAGGTAGAAGACAGCCAGGACAAAACCTGGACTGTTTCACTGGCACGAGTTGATTACTTTCCGTCGAATGTCTTACCCTTTGTAGCATTACTTTTTCAAAGAGTTTAGAATGTGTAGCGAGAAAAGATATAAGTTTTATTTGATATCGATGTTTTCCGAGCCATATATTAAAACAGTTTTCTAAGCAGCTGATATAGCTCTGTGGCAGCAGCAGCTTAATCATATAATTCGAGATGAGATCAAAGCCTGAGAATTTTTTTTTAAATTTAAACTTCTTAATATACTTTGCTATTTCAAAGGTATTTGTTTTTTCTATTCTCTCATCCGAACTTCTTAAATTATTTAACAGGGTGTTGTACTCTTTTTCGATTTCTAAATCATCGGCATCTGTATGGTTTATTTCAGTCGTTTTGAATTATTCTTTACAGTAACGATGCAGATCATCAATTATTTCTTGTTTTCTTGATATTATTTCTTTTCCACTATCAAGTTTTGAAAATGGTAAACTCTTACACTTGTAGAAACGAGACAGATGCGACCAAAATTCTTTTCCCGATCGATCATATTTTTCATGAATTATTGATAGAAAAGATTGCCATCTATTTGATTTATATTTATCGATTTCTGTTTTTACTTCACGTGTCATTACTTGCAATAGAACAGAGTCTCTTTATTAAGATGTCCACTCATTCTTTCTTTGTAATAAATATTTCTTACGCGGCTGACTTTTTTCAGCTTATCTATTATGTTTGGTGGCATAGATGGTCGGTATTTTTCTTTTTCCTTCCACATAGTTACTCTATTTTTTAATGCTGCAAGGAACCGAGTATAATAGTGGTACCATTCATCCGCTGACATGTCATTTTTCTCTTTTATCCAGAAATTCTGAAAAAGAGCCAACATACCTTCAAATGCCTTCCATCGAACAACTGGATAAGAATTTGTTATTTCAAAGGCCACATTTTCACATGAAATTACAACGGATCAGTGATTACTGATTCGAAAAAACCAAATTTGTGCACTCATACCATCAATGTTCAAAAAAGTCAGATCGAGGTTACGTAAAGGGCGCTTAGATGTATATGAAGTGAAACGAACGTATACGAGGTCGTTCTCATCTACCCGTAACATTCTTCCACGTTTACCTGACGATGGACTGTTCCATTCTTCTAATGAAGCATTAAAATCCCCTCTGATGATTGTTCCTTCGATTATGAAAGGTCGTAAATCATGGAGGTTTCGTTTTTGGCCTTGAAGCCAATATATTCCAATTATACATATGGGATCGGAGAAGCCTACAACGTCGACAATAACAGGGTTTTCAACTTTTATCTCGATTTGAGTAGCTTTGAGATGTTTCCCTACTGCTACACTGAGTCCTCCACTACGGTTTCTACCTTTATAATGAAAAGTGTTACAATATGTTAAAGAAAAAGTATTCCATAGTTCACCGACTTCTGTGAAAATACTACCTGATGCATCTACTTTATACACTAGATTTGTTACTTCTAAATATCGTGTTCTTCAACCTTCAACATTACAGTTTAGGATGTTTAGAGGTACCTTTTGTGAGGGAGGACAGTGACTCTTACATAATTCCCAATTTTGTAAAACAGTATCTAACGTACTACTCGAAAATCACTCATCAATAGCTCTAAGTAGTAGTTGATTATCTTTTTCTGAGAGTGTCCATTGAAAAAATTGTTGCAAAGCCTGTACCTTTGTATCTGAGAGCGTAGTAGAAAAAAAACGAAGGATAGAAACTCTTAGCTGTAGGACGAAGCATTGTCATTAAGTTCCATTGATATTCAGATTATTAACAGCAGATGGTGTAACTGTTTCACTATTTGATGTAGTAGTTGATGGTACGTTTGATATTTTTTCTCCATAGTGGTATTGGCTGTTAATTCCTCGAGAATGGTTGTAAACGACAGATATTTACCGGCGGGATCAATCCTTCGTAAATCACATAACGAATGAACAATTTTTTCCATAACATCCTTTAGAGACTGAAGTATATTCTTCACAGACTTTGTTAACGATTTCGAAACTTGTTTTTGATGATTAAGTTGAACATTTGTTTTGTGGAGCTTTTTTTCCATTCTTAGATTATTCTCTGACATAATACGTAGTTATTTAATGAGTGCTGTAAGAGCATTTTCAATGTCAGCTGATTCAACTGTTGATTGTTGCCGAAGTGTCTGTTTAGCACCCCAAGCAGGTATAATACGATCCATTTGACGTCTCATAGCTGGAAAATCATCTGAATTAAGCTCTGGTGCTTGTTTTTGTGATTATAATCGACGCAATAGACTCCTTGAGAACTCATTGTCGACTTCTTCCTTCAGATGTGTCTTATATGTTCTAATTTTTTGACATTAATTACTAAGTGAGTGATGATTTCTATTACATTGTGCACATCTTGGCTAATAAAAACAATTATGCGTTTGTTTTTCATCAATTTCTTGAAGACATACACAGCAACGAGCAGATGATATTTGACATTTGTTTCTCATGTGCCCGATGCACCAACATCGGATGCAATAAGTTATTCTATTTACCTGAAGAAACGCTGTAATGGATAACATAACATTGCCTATCGATACACGTCTCATACCTAGCGCTCTATTGTAGTCACAAAAGTCTTTCGCGTTGAAGCGATAATCGTCTGTTTTCCGCGTATATCCATATTGAATTCGATCTATATTTTCTACTGCTTCAATTAATCTCGCTATTTCTTCTTTTATGAATTCATGATCCATACCTCGGTGGTATGTAACGGATAGCAAATGCAAAGGAATCAGGGATAAACTTTTATTTTTGGACAGTGATCGGTACATTCATGATTTTTGTCAGCCATTTGTCGGTTGAGACTAATTTTATGTAAGGGTGTGGGTGTGGGTGTAGGTGTGGGTGTAGGTGTGGGTGTGGGTGTGGGTGCGGGTATGGGTGTGGGTGTGGGTGTGGGTGTGGGTGTGGGTGGGGTGTCGGTGGCTGCGTGGTGGGATGGGGATTTGAGTTTAGTTGTTGGTGTTCTGCAGCTATATCCATATCCGACACTCATACACACCCACACCCACACCCATCCCCACAGTGCACACCGTACGCCGATACCCACACCCACATTCACATCCACAGTTACAGTCCACACCCACACGATGCAGCCACACCCCAGCCGCACCCCACATCCAAATTGATTTCAGTAAATTGCTTTAATCTTATTTTGTATCGTTATTTCGTTCTTGCCATTGTCTTGAAAAATTTGTTAAGAGAATGATATTGAGCTTGTCTAGTTTCACTTGTGTTTTGAGTAGCTATGGTTCGAGTGTTGAGATTGTCTGCCGGGATTCTCATTGATCAGAAAGCTTCATATGCATTCATTATAATCAAAGACACTTTTGTTTAACACTTCGTAAACCTGAAAGGTGGTACCTGATAGCTGTGAAGCCAGACATGTAACGGTCATGTGCTTCCAGTGACGGTGAAAAACTATTAATAATTCTCGTGTATATCTTCTAAAAGTGTATGGGGTTATTAGCAATTCCGATGAACCCTCCACTCAGTCTTTCACCAACTCTTCCATGCGATTGGTGCTGCGGTTAGAGGACGCTCCGTATACCTTGTAGTAAACTCTTAAGGCGATTTATGAAGTCAATAATCCCCTTCATTTACCTTATCTTAAATCCTTGAGGCGATTGATGAGGTCTATAAACTCTTTCATATACTATATCATAAATCCTTGAGAAGATGGATGAAGTCAATAATCCTCCTCATATACTTTTCATAAACCCTTGAGATGATCGATGAAGTCAATACTCTCCTTCATATACGTTATCATAAATCATTGAGTCGATTGATGAAGCCCATAATCCCTCTCACATATCTCTTCATAAACCTTTTGGACCATTGGTGACGGCCATTAACGCTTCCAAATATCCTTTCGAAATACCATACTCGGGTATTGTGTTTTCATCTACCCTTTCAGAAGGGGCTTGAAAGAGTATTTGAAAATGTGTATGACGCTTATGAACCCTTACGATGAGTTTTTGAAAGTGCAACGTATAGCAAACCCATTAAGGGTTTATGAATCTTATGAACCCTTTCATAAGCCTTTCAAGACGGGTATTTGAAGTTCATGAGCCCATTAATATTCCATTTTGAAAGGGTTTCTCGTAGGGTTTATGACCCTCTCATAAACAGTAGAAAAGGGTTTTTTATACGTTGCACTTTCATCAACTCTTTTAAGCGTTTATTCTTCTCCAGATTTGTTTTACAGTGTGGATGTGGGGTGTCAGTGTGGCTGTGGGTGTGAGTTTGAGTGTGGGTCTTCTCCTCACTCATATCTATATCTCGCACCCACCCACACACGCATACCGACACCCACACCCTGATATCGGTCGCGATTGTGGCTAATAAAATTTCAATAACAATAATTTATTTTACAAACTATGTGCTTGAAAATGCTTTATTATGTTTGAGGAAATTATTATTCTCAATAGAGAAATACGTTGCACGTTAGTCGTGATTAGTAGTGGTCATGGTCAGTCACGAAACGTTTTGGCTAAGAGCAATGTGCAACGTATTGCTCTATCGAGGATACTTATTTTCTCGAACGAATATTTGGAACTGAGTTCGTCATGCAATATTGTTCTTTTTGGCTTATATGCTTCTTGAACTATGTAATATAATACTACACTTGTGAATGAGACGCATGGCAAAGTTTGTAGAGTATTTTGAAAAGAAGTAAACATTAGGCCCCAAGTTGAAACGTGGCTTCCTGCCATCATCGAACATGAACATAAAAAGTTAAATGTTTAGAAAATATTAATACACATGAACGAAATGTTAAACATTGGTATAATTGGTATGGGTAGAATTGGTCGCATACATGCTGAAAATATTGCTCGTAATTTTCAAAATGTACGAATAAAAGGTATTGCCGATTTGTATTTAAATGATGAAATGATTCTCTGGGCAAAGAACCTGGGCATTCAATGTTGGCTTAAGTGTTACGGAGATTTATTAGCTGACAATGAAATTCATGCCATTTTTATTTGTTCACCAACAAGTACTCACTGCGACATCGCAATTGATTGTATTCGCAGTAATAAGCATGTATTTTGTGAAAAACCACTCGGTAGCAGTATCCGAGAAATTTATGGTGTAATTTTGGAATTTGAAAAGAGTTCTAATACGAAACTTAAATTTCAAATTGGATTTAACCGCCGCTTTGATCATAATTTTCAAGCAATAAGAGCAGCCATCGAATCAAAGCAAGTTGGTCAGCCGTATATTTTACGGTTAACATCACGTGATCCAAGCCCACCATCTCTTAATTATGTAAAACTATCTGGGGGCATTTTTTTTGACATGACTATTCATGATTTTGACATGGCAAGATACTTATTGGATGATGATATTATTGAGGTTCATGCAGATGGAGATGTATTATTTGATTTGAAGCTTCGCGAATTGGCAGATATTGATACAGCGGTAATAACTATGAAAATGTCTAAGGGCGCATTTGTAATAATTGACAATTCAAGACAAGCTGTTTATGGATATGATCAGCGTGCAGAAGTATTTGGTTCAAAAGGACAAGCAACAATTACCAATGACACGTGTTCATCTATTATTGTATCAAATAATGAAGGCATACATTCCGAAAAGCCTCTACAATGTTTTCTAGAACGCTATAAACAATCATATATAACCGAAATTCAACAATTTTTCAATGCTGTACTCAATGATAACGCCGTGCCTGTTACTATTTATGATGGTCTGCAAGCAGTAAAAATCGCAAAAGCAGCACAGCTATCGTTAAAGGAAAAGCGCAGAGTAAATCTAATTGAAATATCCGACTATGAAGGAACAGAAGTTAAGAACGGAACAATCGTCGAACAAAATATATATGAGACTTCTGCGAATGGCTTTACCATTCACCTTCCGGAAGACAAGATAAATGAACATGAATCGTCGTCAACCATCTAGAAGAATGCAATTTATTTATCATAAACAAACAAAATGATTTCTAACCAAAGCGTACTCGACACCATTGGACTTAACTTTTGTTTAGCTTAATAAAGTAGCTAATTTCTTTCCTAAAACATAACTGCAACAAAAGCTGCTTATGATATTCTTCTCTTCGATGCACCACATCTGTTGATTACTAAAACTTCGTTGCGTCACAAGAAGTCCTGAATGTGCATGCTTTCACATATTCAAGTTGCTTCGTCGAAATCAAAGTAGAAGACAAGGTTTGCGATTCTATAGGGAACAGCAGAATGTTCATCATCAGATAGTTTACAAATACTACATTCTATATCCCAATCGAAAATCTGTCTTTGAAAACAACTAATTTGAGTTCGTCTAAGAATCAGTATATGATTAACAGAGCACGATACTTCTTGTTTATGCTACAAAAACCATTTAGGAATGACACATTTTATATATTGTACGAGTCTTTCCATGTTTAGCGATAAAAGTAAGGTTGAAAAGCATATTTTTTCATATTTTCGGAGTTCATGGGCACAAAAATACGGAAAAACAGTTAATCCATATGTCAGTGGTAGAGAAACTGACGACATCCACCAAATTACACCATAAACCGAAAAAGAAACAAAATATCGCTTCAATCTAGAATATCTATAAAAATCCATCAAATTGCAGAAAACTTCAAAGAATAACAAACAAATTTACATGTTACACGAACATACAGATGGTATCTACAACTGTATGAAAATGCCACAAAAATTGGAAATGCCATTACTAAAAAGAAAGATATCAAAATGGGGCACGGTCGTGAGTGGGCGGGGTCTAGCTTTCTGAATCTCCGTGGGTGTGGAGTGCGATTGTGCGTTTGGGTGTTGGTGTCGGTGTGGGTGTGGGGTGTGGGTGTTTGTGTTGCTATGGGTCGGAGGTGTGGGTGCGGGAGGGTGTCGGGTGTAGCACTGGGTGGGTGCGCCTGCATCTGTGGCTGTTCATGTGGGTATGGGTCTGGATGTGGCTACAGTAGTCAGTGTAGCTGTGGGTGTTGGTGTCGGTGTGGTTGTCGGTAGGTGTGGGGTGTGCAGTGACTCGCTGCGGCTGCATTGGTGGCTGTTGGTATCGCTGTGTGAGCAGCTGAGGGTGTGGGTGCGGTGTAGGCATGTCAATGAGCATGGAGGTGTGTGTGGGAGTATACATCCATACATATATCCATCTCCACACCCACATTCTTCAACACCAACACCTATACCGACATCCAAGCCCACGCTCACAATCACAGCCACAGCCACATCCACACTCACCCACACCCCCACACTACAAGTAAAGCATACAAAGCTACAAGATTAGAGCGATATGTTTTTTTTCTTCGTTCAAATCTTGTTCCTCTGAGCTAAGCTTTTCAAGTAATCAAGAGTATTAATTGTAACAGACACATGAAAATTTTTGAACTTAACACATCCATTCTTCTTCCTCGAGAAAATCTAACATTCAGGAACAAAATTCAAAATTCAAGCATTCTTATAATCAATTTTTATGATCGGATTAAACATGTAACAATTGGTGATCGATGAATTGAACTGTTCAAATAGATTAGTCCTAGACGTATCGCAAGTTCCACTTCTATGAATGTGTTCTGTTTTCTGAACTCGATATAGTGATCCATGCTGGTTTTTTGACAATTCGAACATTATTGAATAAAATTGCTACATAAGTATTATTAATAGACCTATTTCATATGAAAAGAACTGATCAGTAGAACCAGTTCTCTAAAAAGGGACCAGTTCATAAATCTGTCAAGTGTCACAGATCTAGATCTGACCATTCGTTGATTGTTCATTACAATCTACGTATGTTAGTAAATGGTCTCATCGAATGATTAGTATTTTATGAATGATTAAAAATGTACTATCTTGTTATATTTGTCTCTTTTCAATAAGTATTCTAATGAATAGTCTCAACAAAGATACGAACAAATATTCAAAGCCTAATTTCCTCAGTCCATCAACAGTCATATAAAGATGCTTTCCCTTTAAATTTCCTATACTACGAAAAGTTTCAATCCATGTATATACTAAAACTTTAGCATTGCTCAGCTGTTTTTTCGCTATATATACTCATCATATTTCGACTGATATTCATATTTCATGAGCTTCGATCGATCAAAATAATTCAAAATGACACAATCTAGCACTGTATCTAGAAAAAGGCTTTTGATTAGTCTCTCAACTTTTTTTAGAATATAATTGATTCTTTTCATCCATTGCAAACTGTACTATCATTTACATATCACTCTCTACTAATCCATCGTCAACACTGCTATAAATAATTTAATATTGTCATACTATATAATACTCTTTCTTTCTTTTCTCAATAGTATGTTGTAAGACCCTATATGAGTCACATTTTATTAGCAGAATATGCACTTAATTCATGATTTCGACTCAATGAATATTGTATTATAATTTAGATATGAAATAATTCTAGATTTAATTTACAATCGAATGAGACATTTCACCTTACCGATAATTTTCTATAAACATGTGTCTGAGACCGAAAACATCTTGCTTATATGATTCTATATAATTTTCACGAAAGTCTTTATCAGTAGAATGGCAAGACTAGATCAATGTCGACAATAAGAATATGATAATTATGTTTCTTTTCCAGCTCTTCAGTATATTATGTAAAAATATTTTGCATTTATTTATTTTTTTCAATATTTCATATAGATGTCGTTAGTAAGAAGTGCATCTGCTAAAAAAAGCAAGAAAGAAGCATCTTTTAATCCATCTGACGGTATGTCACAAATGATATGGCAATTTTCAACTTTATCTTTGCCATGTAACGTGAGAATACGAAATTTATACGACATATATAAATACACACAATTTGTTAAGAAGTATTATAAACAACTGCTTGTATTTATTACTTTTGCGCGTTCTTCTAAATGTCGTCATTTTTCTATTATCTACATCATATGTATTTTTCTCGTTCTATCATACGTATTTTATTCCCTTTCTCTCATATATATATTCCCATTCTCTCATATGTATTTTTCCTCTCTCTCTCTTGTGGTTGATTCCTTCTCTCTGTTCTCTCTTCGGTATTTTTCCTAAATGCACCTGGATATTATCATATTCTAGGTTTTTGTTCATCATATATAGGTGGGGATTCTTTTACAACAAACAGTCTAAGTGTGTATCGAATACAACCATTTTTGACTACTACTCGATAGAAAAACAAATTTTTTTTTGAGTTGATATAACTTCACAAATCGCTTCTTTTTTAACAAGTCATATTTCGTCAATAATAAACAAGAGTATTATTACTTCAACCAACAACAATGAAACTAGTCATCATTCTTTGTGTTCTCTTCGTTGGTGCTTATTGCGCACCTGTACCCAATGAACAACTCAATGATCAATGGAATTCATTCAAAAAACTTCATGGAAAAAAATACAATTTCGTCGAAGAAGGCCATCGGTATGTTAGTCAATATTGCAACTTTGTAATCATTTATAAATTATATTCTTTCTCTTCTTTTATCTAGCCGAAGCATTTGGGAAGCTAACCTCGCTAAAATCCAAAAACACAATCAAGAAGCTAACTCAGGCATTCACACATATACTGTAGGAATGAATGAATATGGTGATTTGGTAAAATATTTCTTTTTTACATTCTGAACACATTATACTATACAATCTTCATATATTTAGACTGATGAAGAATTCCAAAACAAAATGAATGGATTCAAGATGTTAGCTAAATCTGAAACAACTAACTTCGATAATCAGAGACTCTTATTTTCATCAAATGGTACCATTCCAGATGCTGTTGGTATGTTTTTTTTACATTGATTTCTTTTCAAATATATAAACTATCATCACAAAAATATTTTGTATAGATTGGCGTCGACAAGGTTATGTAACACCTGTTAAAAATCAAGGACAATGTGGATCATGTTGGGCTTTCTCAGCTACTGGTGCACTTGAAGGTCAATACTTTGCTCGAACAAAATCGCTCGTTTCACTTTCTGAACAAAACTTGGTTGATTGCTCAGGTCAATTCGGTAACATGGGATGTTCTGGTGGTTTAATGACACGAGCTTTTCAATACATCCAATATAACCAAGGTATCAATACTCGAATAAGTTATCCATATGAAGCTCGTAATGGTATATGCCGATTTCAAATAGGATCCGTTGGTGCCACTAGTAGTGTAAGTATTGTTTTTTTCTATAATACTATGAAATAATAGACAACAAATACTTGTCTTTTGTGTAGGGTTTTGTTAATATTCCATCAATGGACGAATATGCTCTTCAAGTTGCTATTAGTAATATTGGTCCAATTTCAGTTGCTATTGATGCTTCACATTCTTCATTTCAATTCTACCGATCAGGTGTTTATAATGAACAACAATGCTCATCAACACAACTTAATCATGGTGTTTTAGTTGTTGGTTATGCCACGAGTGGTTCACAACAATATTACATTGTTAAAAACTCATGGGGAACATCATGGGGCCAACAAGGTTACATCTTAATGAGTCGTAACAGTAACAATCAATGTGGTATTGCAACGATGGCCAGCTATCCACTTGTTTAAGTTGATGAACACTGAGTACAAATACAAATTGTATAGTTTCTAATTTTTAATCATGAACATTTTTCTTTCTTGTCTTTTCAAAAAAACATATCATAA